TCTAAAAACACTGTGTCTGAGCAGGTTATCTGTAGAAGGGGAGATGCATCACAGCCAAAGTGATCAATCTCATTTGAGTCACAGAATTCCAACTGGAGACCTATGCCAAGGGGTGGGAGGATGATCAGCAGGCCAGCAAACCAACAGCTGAGGACAAGTATAGTACATACTCTGTTGCTCATGATGGTTGTGTAGTGTAGGGGCTTACAGATGGCCACATTGCGGTCATAGGACATGGCAGCTAGGAGAAAAAACTCTGTTGCTCCAAAGAGGACAATAAAAAATACCTGGGTGAAACAAGCATTGTAAGTAACAGTGTTGTCACCAGTTGTCATGGTGTACAGGAATCTGGGAATACAAACAGTGGTGAATGAGACTTCCAGGAAAGAGAAATTTCGGAGGAAAAAATACATGGGAGTTTTAAGATGAGAATCCAAAAGTGTGAGTGTGATAATGGTGAGGTTCCCAGCCACACTCAATATGTAAGTGAGAAACAAAAATATGAAAATTAGAACTTGTAGTTTTGGATCATCTGTCAATCCCAGCAGGATGAATGTTGTTATTGCTGTATGATTTCTCATCCCCGCCTTGTGCCAAGTCACAAGCGATTGGACCTGAAGAGAGGTGTCAAAAGAAGCCAGCATTGGAGCCTGACTGGAGACATCCCAGCCAGATAGCTCAGTGCACTTTATATTCCTTTACCTGATAATTAATTACAGTATTGAACACACTCATAATATTGACATCTTACAAGAAGGTTTCTACAGAAAATTTTGAATATAGGTCTTATGCTTGTACTGCATCAGTAATAATATCAAATAAAAACCAAACAAACATAAATCATATGTGCAGAATGCAGTTTATTAACAATATTGCCTGGAGGTGACACTCTATGTGTTCTTAATCTGGAAGAACTATGACAATTTTGGACTCTTCTTCTCCTATCTTCACCTTTCTTTGCCTTTCCCTGCCATACTGTAATGTTCTATGTTCAAAATCAAGGAGGATCTGTTAATTAAAATTTTATGTTGATTACTTAATTTTGTTGTAATGAATTTTAATAACAGCACATTCATTTTAGCGTAAATTTTTCTTTGTGCTCAATTATCTCTAAATAAGGTGAAAAATTTAGAACATAAAGGTGTACCTCAGCTTTTTTGTTCTTACACTTTGTGAATTAAAAGTATTGCTTTTTATGAGTTTATTTTAGTATACATAGTATTAGTGAMAAATTATATTGGGTTTCATTTTAATATAATTAATCTAGCATGGAATGTAATTTTCTCTGATTTAGTCCTCACTACTTCCTCTTTCCCTTCTATTTATTTATGATTTTTATGTTTATACCTTCTGGACATACATGAAAATGCAATTTGTTGGGGCATATTCATAGATGTACATAGGAAAGTGTATCAGATTCATTCCACCCTTCTTCCCCCTTCCCCTCCCCCTTCCTTGATCCCTTTCCTCTACTCCACTGTTCTCTCTTCTATAGTGAAAAGAATTTCTAGCCAGTTTTGAGATTCTTACGCATTTTGTTTCATGAACYTTTGAAGTGGTATAAAGAACCATTTTCTGGAACCTGAGCATGAACCTGATTGAGTCCTGCTGTGGTGTTGGTGAAGGACAGAGCCCAGGAGGAGAGATCTGTGGTGTTGCTTTCTTTGCAGCCTGGTTCACCCAGTCTTCTTAGTGCCACTCAGTCACCTGAGTCTGTCTCTGACCTCTTTTTGAATGATTCCTGCTTTTTCATTCCAATTATTCTCCCTGTCTTCCTAATCTTGTTTATGTTCTCTGGGTTTTTGGTAATGTAACTAGCTCAGGCAACATCTAGGAACAGATGKAATCTTACAAACTCATCTTTGTAAACAAATAATAATGTTCCCTACCTTTCTCTCTGGTCTTTATCTCTGTTCATTTTAGCTCTTTCCCAGAAGTTTCAAGCCTCCTTATATTCAAATTGATATATTTTCAGGAACCACATTAGATATGGGCTCAGGGATTTCTTCTTCACTTTGCATCCAAACTTAACCCTCATTGCAGTTCAATATTTTAAGCAGCTGTTTTCAGATTTGCAACATGTAAATGAAAATCTTACAAATTCATTATCTGCAGAGTATATATTTACTACCTTAAAAATTACATAATGTTATAAAATATGACATTATAAAATATGTCTTAATAGGGGAATTTTTAAGTTTTCAATTTTAGATATAGCTCACAATTTATTGAAAAAACCCTACAAATTTTTGTATAAAAGAGGAAGAAGTTTTAAATTGCTTAAATAACTGCCCCACTTGCACCCAGTATTTGTGGTCCATTTGAAAATCAAGACACTGTATGTTTCTCTTATTTATTACTGTCCAAGAAAACAATCAACATTCATTCATTCAAATAAATATTCATTAATCACTTATTATGTATAGAGCATTATATCAGTTACTCACCTATAGGTTCACCTATGAAAAAGTTGCTTCCTAAAGAAGACTTGAGGTCACTAGTACAAGATACTATTTCATATTAACACATTTTAATTTACATGGTAACACAAGGTAACAGCAGAAATGTAATTTTGTATTCGAAACAGTATCTATTTCATGCTTCTTCCTTGACAATTATTCTTAGTTATACTAGTATCTATTCATATTTTCCTATATAAATCCACATCCGACAGTCTCTGTACAAAATTTAGCAGAACAAGGTGTAACCAAAAGCTTGACATGTGGCTCAGAATTCACAGATATGATTTTAGAACAAGGAAAACTGCATGGGAGGAATAATTCACCTGAGAGATGGTATTGTACCATCAAGGCCCCTGGTAAATACAAGGTGATAGATCAGGTTTATTTATTCACACTGAATTACCCCTGTTCCCCTTCTTCTGTTCTCTCCCATGTATTTCTTAGTCAGTTTGGTAAGTTGGTTTTTATTTTTTAAAATGAACTTTCTAGTTCATTTTACATATTTGTTTATTATGTTTGAAACAAACCTCATTTAGTCTTCATTTGGGACCAAGACTTCTCACAGTTTGAACAGTTTATGATCAAGAAGAGTTTGAATTCTGCATCAGCCAAATCCGTGGCAAAAGGACTTAAATACTTGATGGATAAAAAGGGGTTTTTCTTCTAAGATCATATCTAGTATGGATATTATTTGTTATCTATGACACTAGCAGACATTTCTGAGTAGAAGTGTCTTTTCTGTAGTCTTCTATGTTTCTAGAGTTAAAAAGTCTCCTCAACTGATACTCATGGCCAGGATAAAGGAGAAATTGGCCATCAGAAGAAAATTCTAATTTCATTTTCTTCAGAATGACACTTTTATAGAATTAATTGTCAATACCCATCAATGAACTGAATATAAGATTTAAAAACTGATTATTTACCTTCTGCCTGATTTACAGAATATGGAAAATATGTCACAAAATTACATACTAATTATATACTTACTTTTTGGACCCACCTTCATTAGAGGGTTTCAGCCACAGTGTAGGAGCATTAGCTGTTGAGGATCTTTGTGTGTATTCTGTGTTCACTTATGTTTCACCTATCTCAGTCCCCACCCTCAGGTTCCACATGAGCACATGTATGGGTGGACACACCCATGCACACACACACTCACACTCAGGCAGGTGTAGCAATTGACAGTTCCTGTCTAGATTGTCATCACTCCTGCTATCAGGAGACCAGTCTCTATCCTCTCTTTATTCCACACATCTAAAATGGCATCTTATACCAGATTTCCCATTGATTCTGTTAGTTCAAGGAAAAAATATAGTGGTGTAGAGCAGAAAAGAAATTTCTAGTCTATTGGAGAGCTCATGTGGCCTTGGTCCTCCAAACAGGCTTAGCTGAAATATCTTTAATAGCAGCCTTTGTTTTATATTGCTAGCAGTGCATGGGGGAATGACAGAGCCAACAACTCAGTCCTTGGTGACTCAGTTTGAGAAGTTATTCACAAATTGGTGGCAGTCTAATGAACAATGTAAAAATTTATGTAGCAATAGAGACAGTGTCCTCAGAGACCTGGAGAGTTTAATGTTTGAATTCTCTTTTGATTACTTTGTTGAATCTCTGTATTTCCCCCAGGACTAAATCCTGCCTAGTACTTCATTTGTATTATATGTTATGTATTTGTTTTTTTTTAGATGTTAAATTTCTTTTTTTTTAATTGGTTGTTCACAACATTACAAAGCTCTTGACATATCATATTTCATACATTAGATTGAAGTGGGTTATGAACTCCCAATTTTTACCCCAAATGCAGATTGCAGAATCACGTC